AGCAAATATATGGGAGTACCCCCCCCCCCCCCCCCCAAAAAAAAAACCACACATATTTCTTATACGAGAAACTGTGTGTTTGTAAAAAAAAACTGGCCAGGGGTCAAAAGTGCTGACGTCACGGGCGCGCAGCGCTATTAACCTGTGCATTAAAAATGAAGGTACTTAAAGATTGAAAAAAAAAAACAGAGAGGTTTGAAAGTAGGGAATAAACTCGTCCTCTTAAAAAAAAACTGACTTTTTTCAATTGACTACAATTGTAGCTTACATCAAAAAAAAACCAACTTGAGCTGCGTCATGAAGCCGGTCATTAAAAAAAAAAAAAAACAAATAAACTATTTTCACTTTATTCGATGAGACCATGAAAAAAAAAAGATATAGATCATAGTTCAGTAGCCAATCAGGATGCTGGAAAAAAAAAAGTACATATGCGGATGGATACTAAGATTTTTTTGAAATAAAAAAAAATGATGTCTGATGGAGTACTAGTCCTCTCGACCTCCTGCAAAAAAAAAAAAGTAATGTGTCATTCTTGTAAAATGTTTTATTGTCTAAAAAAAAACATGTTTTCCTTTGTCTTTTTGTCACTCAGTTGACCATAAAAAAAAACCTTGTAAGAGAATCCGGAATCCAGTAAAAATACAGCTAAAAAAAAAGGAATCCCTATCCTGGAATCCGGAATCCAACTATTTGGAAAAAAAAATCTGGATAGTTATGAAGATTGCTTTTATCGGTGAARATAAAAAAAAATAGAGATGAGAACGTACATCCAACTGATATGCTGTACTTTACTGTACTTCATATACGTAGTTTGTTTGTCAGCATGCGACAATTGGAGACAGTGCAAATTAGTGACGCGCTAACGCTGAATATAACATTTTCAAAAAAAAAAGACACTGAAAATCACGCGAAAATCATTTATTATCCGGAAAAAAAAACAAAAATTCTTTAGAATCCGAAATCCCAAGGCTTGGAAAAAAAAAAATAATGTTTCGGAATCCGGAATCCAGCGCTTGGAATCCGAAAAAAAAAAGTTCTCTGGATTCTCTTACATGGGGCGAATAATCCATAAAAAAAAACATGGGGCGAATAGAGGTAATCAATAGAATTCTTTGTTAAAAAAAAATCATCCGAGTGGACAGTCATCTGACAAAGGAAGGTCAAAAAAAAAAATATATGTTTAAAGTAAGATCAGAAATGATTATGACAAGAAAAAAAAAAATTTTGGGTCAAATTCAGTTGAGCTGTCGTTGTTTTAAAAAAAAAAATTAGAACTTTTCACTATATTTAATAAGAATCAAGTTAAAAAAAAAAAATCCATTCCTCTAATTTTCAAATAAATTTATAAAAGAAAAAAAAAATAACACTTATACAATTAACTTAACATAATTTACACAGTAAAAAAAAAAATTTCGCGTGCGTGCGAATATTGGAAAAAGTAACATAAAAAAAAAAATATCGCAAAAATTATCAACCGCTAAAATAAAGTCATTAAAAAAAAACAAATGGCGCTCCGTACATGATGATAGAAAATCGTGACAAAAAAAAAGATGCATTTCGTGACATTGAAGACCTACAATAACCATAAAAAAAAAATTGTGCAAAGTTTGTATTCAAGTTTGAATTTAAGTCCTGTTATTATCTTCACCTTTACGCCATTTTGCCAATTTGAGCGGGAATTAAAAAAAAAAAATAACATTTTATACAAAATTACTAATATGTAACTCTCGCCTTTTATCTTGAATTTTTATTCTGATTCAAAATTTACTGTGTATGTAGCTTGCAGTATTCACAACTATTAGATATTTAATTATCTCGCTGTAAAAAAAAACTCTTTAAGATATGAGCTCATCTATCAAATAATGAAAAAAAAAAAAACTACCATGCTGATTTATACTTTGAACTTTAAAAACACAAAAAAAAAAGAATATATCATGATTTCAAAAATTGATCAAAGTTCAATAAAAAAAAACGAACACTTGTGCCCAGCCCAGTACTCGTCTTGTGGCCAAAAAAAAAACCTTGAGTCACAACCGTTGCCAAAAAAACTGCATTAAAAAAAAAAATATCTTTTCCCTAAATTTCAATACTTTGCGCGACATATAAAAAAAAAAATACCTGCAAGCCTTGCTCCCGCTTTTGGTGTCGAGAAAAAAAAAAAACACACCAATATTGATTTATAGGAGCAAGAGGATATAATATTGATTAAAAATAGAGCACCTTACAATCCTATTGTAAGATAAAGAAAAAAAAACTATGTTTGGCAACGATTATAGTCACCACGTGTAGTAAAACCAATAAACGATATTGAATATGAGAAATGACAACGGGAAGAGAAAAAAAAAAAACTTATCTACAATCTTCGCGCATCTGATCAAAACTTGTTAAAAAAAAACCTGTTTAGATTTGTTTTGCCTTTCCATTACCCTTATKAAAAAAAAAGTATCGTTCTTGCCGTCCTGGATGCTTTGCTCTARTGGAAAAAAAAAGTCGTTACTAGCATCTGACAAAGCTACATCTGTTTCCCAAAAAAAAACAGAGCTTTTATTCTTGTTTTTAGTGAGCATCAATGACAAAAAAAAAATTGGCATTAGGAATTTCTTGGTCAGCGACCTCTAACAAAAAAAAAATTATTGAAAAAATTCTTGAGCTATCAGTCCAGTAAGGAAAAAAAAAAAAAGTGCATATGACACGATTTTTTTTATTTGAAAAATAAAAAAAAAAGAACAAGCATAACAGGTTGGCTAATTACSACTTGATGCAAAAAAAAAAATTTCAGAGAAAATCGGAGTTAAAAATCCATTATGCTAAAAAAAAAACGTCAATGTGTATTGCTTTAAAACATTTCAACTGTGTAAAAAAAAAAGTGTTCCTAATATACCCATGTCAAACTTTGAAAGATTAAAAAAAAATACATAACAAATATCTTCTACAAAACAATAAGGTGACAAAAAAAAAACGGACAATTTTGTATAATTAATGAGTTACACTTTGACGAAAAAAAAATAGCATAAAATCCATTTTTCTCTGAAATTAGAAGCCTGAAAAAAAAAGCACTTTACAGAACTATTATTTTCTTCATATTGATTTTAAAAAAAAAACAAAAAAAATCATGTCATATGCACTTTAAGTCAGTAAAAAAAAAAAAACAATAGCTAGGCAAAAACCTAAACAAACAAACAAACAAAAAAAAAAAAACAAAACAAAACAAAACAAAACAAAACAAAATCTAAAAAAAAAACATAAACCCTCACTGGTTTTGGAAGGTCGATTTGTTTTAAAAAAAAAGGTAGGTCTTTAGAAGTCTAGCAAAAATATATGGCCATAAAAAAAAAATCTTATTTGACGATGATCAAGGCGCGCATAGACCGTTAAAAAAAAATGAAATCATGGTGCATTGTGGTCTAGCTTCAGTAAAAAAAAAAAAAAATTTAGCTGCAGAAACAAAAGATCATTTTATAGCGAATAAAAAAAAAAATGCAATGCGCTATGCTATTTCAGAAAAGGATTATGAAAAAAAAAATTTTATACATTTTTTAATCTTATCTACACTCATGAAATAAAAAAAAACTACTTGGTGATTTTTCTTGTCACCGGCATCCTTTTCCAAAAAAAAAAAAACGATCATACTCTCCACCAACGTTAGGAAAACGAATATAAAAGATACGATAAGATACCAGTCAATGGCCTTTGCATAGCTGACCTTTGGTAAGAATGCATTGATGGACCCTATAAGAAAAAGGATACACAAAAAAAAATTCTCCGCGTCGGGTCTGGGTCTATATTGAAATTGTCTGTGACCATTTCTGTATATGTTATGTCAGGAGGAGCCAATGAGGTCTTAAAAAAAAAATAACTGTTCTTTTACGATTTTTTTCCTGGGAAAGGAAAAAAAAAAACCCTACATTGTTGAAAATCTCACGAGAAAATGTGGGGCAAAAAAAAATTCAAAATTATTTTATTCCTGGCAAATGTTTGCCTGAGAAAAAAAAAATCCTGAGATTCAGCGGCTCCCCCTAGGCTTCTCTTTTAAAAAAAAAGCGCACAAGAAATATTTTTCAAAAGAATTTCAAAAAAGAAAAAAAAAAACTGTCTCAATCCTCTGACTTGAGGCATTTTAAACAAGTCTTAATAACACTACAGTTTTTGTTATTTTTTACATTGTTTTCGTGAAAAAAAAAAACTGGCAAGTTTGTCGCGCGACTTGCATTGTAAAGCAAAAAAAAAATTTCAAGGTTATTTCACACACAGGTCTCAATAATCCAGAAAAAAAAACTGCAATGCTCTGTGTTAGCCTCATTTGTGCGCAAAATAAAAAAAAATGTGAGAATAAAAGTGTGAGATTTCAAATAAATTTCATAAAAAAAAATCACAAATTCCATGCATTTTCTCGGGCTACTAATAAAAAAAAAAAAAATTTTACTTGGTTTTGAGGCTAACACAGAGCAAACCAGAAAAAAAAATTGGAGTATTGCCCTATTTCATTATGACGTCACATCAAAACTTTCTATTGTTTTAACGCTAAGGATTATGGTCGCGAGAAGGGATAAAAAAAAAAGCATGTCAAATAAAATGTACATAAGCAATCATTAATAAAAAAAAAACATCAAAACACGATTCATTGAAGTTCTACTCTATGAGAAAAAAAAAACGGGTCCAAATTTCCACTGTTTTTGAGCATCGTTTTCCAAAAAAAAAATACTGTGACGTCATAATGAAGTAGGGCAATTGAAAATAAAAAAAAATTTTTGCTAACTAGGACGACAATCGTCGATTTAAATCCAAAAAAAAATGACACCTGCGCTTGTAAGTTCTCCAGAGCGAAGTAGCAAAAAAAAACGCACTTGAGAATTTGCTATGGTTAAGTTAACTCGGCTAAAAAAAAATCAGCTTACCTAGAAGGAACATCACTGTTAAGATAGTGGTGATGCCGAGGGAGAGGCGATCGCCAATGGCACCAACATCCATCCAAAAAAAAAACCAACTGAGAGCGACGATCAACATGTCGGGGCAATAGGAAAAAAAAATATAGTAACCGCTTCGCCGGGCCAGTTTGATGGTAAAAAAAAAAAAAGTGAAGTTTTCTGATGAATAAATGCACACAATTTAGTCAAAAAAAAAAAAAATTTAAAATATCATTTCTGTAATTTAAAAAGATTATGGTGGTCTTGATGAATTAATGACATGATAGATTGCTAACAGTGAAAAAAAAAAAAAAGTACTAACCAGATAGCGCTAAATAGTTTAGATTAGAAAAAAAAAGTGAAACAAAACTTGATTATTAAAGTAAGATKAGTCAAAAAAAAAAAAAATAATGCAATTAGAGCGTACTAAGGTATACTAGTGTAAAAAAAAATTCACGGTTTTTTTACTTCACGCTACTTAAGTTTTCCAAAAAAAAAAAGTTTGCAATYAAACTGGACCGAACGATTGGTAGATGATTGTATATACCCTACCTGCATTGTATATTCGCGTATCTTTACCAAGAAAAAAAAAAACCAATGCAAACTGAGACAATTCCTTGTTATCAACCCCAAAAAAAAAGTCTTTCCAGTAGAAAATCAGGTCCCGATCAGTCTGGGAAAAAAAAATTGAACAAAATCTGTTATCATGCGTCATTAAATGTTAGAAAAAAAAACCAATGGTCTGCGGTTTCTACGACGATACAGCGATACAAAAAAAAAAGCTGACCCAAACGCAGGCGAATAAAATGTAAGCCAACGCAGTCAAATAAACAATTGAGAGATACATACAAAAGTGAAGAATGAATAAAAAAAAAATGCATATTCAACGATAACTTACAACTGCCGAAGGTAAAAAAAAAAATTTGAGTGTCCATTGGAAATTTACGTAAATCCATCTCGAAAAAAAAAATGACTGTGGATCTATAATATTCAAAAATAGCACAGTTAGAGATGGCGGGTTTTTATGTAAAAACTATGCAGGACGAGGAGTTTTAAAAAAAAAGCCTATCCCATAATTACGTCACCAAAACATTCTATTGTTTTATCGTTAAGGATTATGTTCGCCAGAGGGCTTCAGAGTGACATAAAAAAAAAAAAAGCTACCATTGATACATGATGTAAATAAAAACTCGATAAAAAAAAAAAAGTTCTACCTTTCGGAAAGAATGTTAATAGGTCCAAAAAAAAAAACTTTCTTAGCATCTATCCATAATGTCAACATACTATAGAAAAAAAAACCATTTTCGAATTTAAAGTGAATAACCGCTGTTTAATTAAAAAAAAATTTCTCTTACGCAAAGAACTTACCAAAGACAGAAGAAAAAAAAAAAAAATGTTGTAAATACAATAGCGCTAACAATTTACATTTTAAAAAAAAAGAGACTAACAACCCTGTATTCCCAGAAGGCTCATACCTAAAAAAAAATGGGAATACAGGGTTAGTCTCAACTCGGGGAAAATGCAAAAAAAAAAGTCTATTGTAATAAATTTTTTCGTGCTCTCTTTTGTGTAAAAAAAAATCTTTGCGCAAGAGAAGTCTGTTGTCAAAAAAGCATTGAAAAAAAAACTATGAATTCGAAACTTGAGTATTCATGCCTTACCCTCAAAAAAAAATCATCGAGCCGTTTGGATGTATTAATAATTGGCTGTTGAAAAAAAAATCTTCCACCATCATGTTGGAGTACCTGGCGTTGTAGCAAAAAAAAAAAGGCCGCCAGAAACTCGTTATCACGCCTCCAGAGAAGGAAAAAAAAAGATTGATCTTTCCAGCCAATCGAGGATCGGTCCAGTATTGTCGCAGATAAAAATATATAGGGATTTCCTCCGAAAAGGGAATCAAAAAAAAAAATTTAGTATTTTCGTCTAACTGGACGAAGTTTGTAGTGCAAAGAAGGATAGCCAAACAAAAAAACTTGGGATCATTGGCTCATTTTAAAAAAAAAGATGAATCGCATGCACGCTGAAAAAAATCGAAAACGAGAAAAAAAAAGGAACAAAACAATTTGTATCTTTTGTTTCCCCTCAGCCAAAAAAAAAATTCTTTTGTCCGTGGTTAGTCAAACGCAATATAGAATAAAAAAAAATGCGTGTAAAATATTTAAAAATTAACATATGATTGAAAAAAAAAAAATTGAACCCCTCGTGTACGTACCATCTTGGCCTCTTCGAAAAAAAAAATTGAATCTATGTGAATATCAACGGCTACTTTGATGGTGAAAAAAAAAATAAGTAAAAAAATATGAATAAAAAAAGTAGAGAAAAAAAAAAAAAAATGCTCCAGTCATTCATAAATTGCAATGGCAGTCTAGAAAAAAAAAAACTTGATCCTTGATCTACATATGCTAAATGTTTTCGTCAAAAAAAAATTACCATCTCGGAAAAAAAATTGTGCTACAATACTTGTAAAAAAAAACGACGCCGTAAAAGTGTTAAAAAAACATAACCAATTGCAAAAAAAAAAAGAAATCCAACGAATCCGCCATTTTCGTATTGGCGGTAAAAAAAAATTCTTTAAGTCCCTCAAGCTCACGACAAGAATATCAGTAAAAAAAAATGTATCATCTGCATACGAATAAGATGTAGCGCTTGTAACTTGCACATAAAGTGAATACGAGGTACGCGTAGAACATGAGTCACGGAAAAAAAAAACGGTTATGTCGGCTTACCTCCAAGTAATGGGCGCACAAAAAAAAAATACTCAGAACATAATTCTGATATGTAAGTTCGTTTCTTGGCAATATTAGACTTGGTAGAATTGACCCTAAAACAGAAGTAGTGATAAAAAAAAAAATAATGATGCTGGTTGGTGAAAAATGGCGTCGATATGAAAAAAAAACCGATTGGAGGACTAGGGACGAAACGTGAACACGAGGTCTTAATGGACAGCCTTCTTCCGTTCAAGAACATGGCGTCTTGCTGGAAAAAAAAAACAGAAAATGACACAACYTGTATCTCTCGAACTTTGACGAAAAAAAAAGTGTTTTTTTTTTCACGCTTTTAATCTTGGTGTTAAGAAAAAAAAAAACACAGATTTCAAAAAAAAATGAATAAATAAATAAGGAAAAAAAAAATTCACGTTTCTTCATCAGTCCTCCGATAGGCAGCCATGACCTGTTGGCCTTTTCGAACGTTTCTTGAAAGAGAAATCGAGGAGAAAAAAAAAAATCAATGCTTACCGACATATTCTATTGAAGATCATTAGAAAAAAAAAAAAACCAAGACAAATCCGATCCATAGTTRACATTTCACCAAAAAAAAATSCTCGWCAAAATCCTTAAATAAAGAAATGCTAAACAATGAAGAAAAGGATAGAAATCGGTTACCTGCATGTCACGTGACCCTATAAAAAAAAAAAGAATTATACATTACTAGGCATATAAAAGAGATTAACTATGGTGTTAATTGTAGGGACAAAAAATCTTTGACGTGTAATTTTCTAAAAAAAAATATTACAGATGACTAGACGATCATAGATAGCTTACATGAAAAAAAAATAGCTGCGACAATGGTCAGCTGCCGCCATTAAGCTATAAAAAAAAAATTTTCATTATAGAGTCTTTACCGAACTGAACTAAGTACAAAAAAAAACTTTGGTTTTGTCSTATGATTTAYATTMATGGCTTATAAAAAAAAAAGCTGGTCACAGTGAAGCCGTAGGTATCGCGATCAGGCCACGAGGCCGACTGAAGTACAAAACAATACATGTCAAAAATGAAAACAAAAAAAAAAGTCTACTGTTATTTTTAGACGTGAGCTTCCACAGGAAGAAAAAAAAATGAAATACGTCCAATTATGCATTGGCAAGATGGCGTAAAAAAAAAAAACTACCAGAAAGCCTAGGCCATTTTTATGGCTATTCAGAAAAAAAAACTCTTTGGAGATTGGCACTAACTGACTAAAGCCATGAAAAAAAAAAACTAGTTTGTCAAGTTTGACAAGTTTATTTAGAACAAAAAAAAAAAAAGCAAATAATTATTAAAATTATAAGCAGAACAAAACAAGAAAAAAAAACTTCAGAAATGTATCGATAGTTAAAGATATTTTGTACAAAAAAAAAAAAGAAATTTTGATATGATATGATTCCAATTCCGTACCAAAAAAAAAAAATATGCACTGCGACAGGCCGACACTTCTCGAGTTCTATCCAAAGCTATCTCAAACTATCTTCTGCGACTTAACAATACTCTCTTAAAAAAAAAATAATTTAACATTGCAGACTGGATTATGAGATACATACAAACTGTAGGCAAGCACTCATACAAATTTGTTTGATGAAATATCTATAAAGATCAGTTAAAGTGCTACTCAAATGCCAAAATTTATTATGTAMCAAAAAAAAAGTRTTTATAATCGAAACGGGCCATACAATCCAGTTAACAAAAAAAAATCCTTTGCACATTCTACATCTTTAGATAAAAACAGTTTAAAAAAAAATGTTCATGAATTTACTCCACAATTCACTCAAGAATCTTAAAAAAAAAAGCTAAACAGATTGTCTAAAGGCCATCCACCTTGATTTAAAAAAAAATTGTATTTCTAGAAGTTGTCACCGACATCTTTTCACTTAAAAAAAAATTACAATTTTGATGTTGGCTCTGCCGACAAAACCAGTAAAACCTCGTATATCGTCACTCCGTCACTTATTCTACCTTCAGACACCAAAAAAAAACTTTCTGATTTGTTTGAATAATTCTTTTAAGTTATAATAAAGTTATATTAACCAAGCATACCGCAGTGGTCGTTGCTCATACTTAAAAAAAAAATATTGTGCGATTGATCTCAATCGTAAGGGCATTTCCCCAAAAAAAAACAAATATAGTAGCTTACCTTTAACGTGTCTGTTGTCTAAAAAAAAAAGAAGATCCGAAAGTAAGATTTTCGTGAGCGTCTCTTTAAAAAAAAAATTCTTTTTAAATATTCATTGCTTAAAATAATTAAAATGAAAAAAAAATTAGATATAAGAGGTATCTATTGTCTGGGAGAGAGCAGGCAAAATAACCAGCTAGGGGAAATATATGTCAATATTGAACTTATTAAAAAAAAAATTTTATATCCGATGGGCCCCTTGCAGGACGTTGTCATACAATCTTGCCAGTTTGTCAAGATGCCCTTAATTAAAATGTCGGATTGAAAAAAAAAGCCAAAACAGCTTGCATGTTAAAATTGACTTAAGCAAAAAAAAAAAATTTGGGAATTGTCAAAACAACCCTTACTGAAACAATCGAAAAAAAAACGAGATCTTTGTCTTCCAGAAGTTAATTAAAACTCGGCTAAAAAAAGCACCCTTGTTTTATTTCTTATTTGATGCCATTATAATAAAAAAAAAACGTTCTTTTGAAATTTGGCAGTCATTTTGATCGTCTGTAGCGATTTGACAAGTTACCAAGTCCCTGAAAAATTAAATTCGGTATAAAAAAAAATTATTATAAACTTTATAACTGTTTCACGCCAAACATGAAAAAAAAAATAAGACCGATAATGCGATTGAGAAGCCCTAGTTCCCAAAAAAAAAAACATTTTCAAAACATTCCTGAAAATGCCAAAGAATCAAGAAAAAAAAAGAAATACGTACGTCATTTTTATGCCGCGAAGTCGTGGTAAAAAAAAACTAGCACAGTAGACACCAGAAATGTCCTGTTTACATAAAAAAAAAAATTTTTTAATGRCATTGATAAATGCATTAGGACTGTGTAGGGGGCAAGAGAGCTTTACAGTGTGAAACTGTAGGAAATTTGGACCTAAAAAAAAATAGACTTCTGTGAAAAGTAATATCCTATTTAGAGTCGTAAAAAAAAACAATGGAAAAGACTATTTGGCTAATATTTGTTGTAAAAGAAAAGAAGAAAACAATAGATCCAGATTGTCATACAAACTATTGCTCAAAAAAAAATTTATATCATTGCCAAATTAAAATGAAAAAAGTAAAGAAAAAAAAAAGGTCATTTCATTCAGTATATATTCATTCAAGCTGTGTGAAAAAAAAAGGCTGCTATACTTTCTAAACCACATAAATGCTTAGCTAAAAAAAAAATTTCCATATTTCAATACAACGATAATAAGTAAGAGACAAAAAAAAAACCCTTAAATTAATTGTCTTGCACTTTTGTTGCGTCGATAAAAAAAAATCTTCAATTTGCCTAAGCACTGCAACTTGTTGTCTCGTAAAAAAAAAGGCCATGAAAAATGAGAAACACTGAACATGGATTAACTAAAAAAAAAACAATGATGCGCTATAAGTTTTGGTTAATTTTTTGTATAAAAAAAAACTCCGCCTTAGTAAGAGTAAACTCCGTCCAGACAGACTAAAAAAAAAATGAGATGTTTTGCTAAAATTGACGCGAAAACAAGCCTAAAAAAAAATGCATGTATTGTTTAATGACTGACAATTTTCGGACGGAAAAAAAAAAATCTGTTGATAATAATGTTATTTCTATAGACAAGACAGGACAAAGTCAATGCGTTCTACTTTTAATCAAACTATTCTTCGTGGTCAAAAAAAAATGACATGATCAGTTATACTGTAAAGCCATCTAGAAATCAAAAAAAAAACTGTACAAAAGTTCTAAAAAGTTCACAACATATACTTAATAATCCAGCATGATAACCCCACAAAAGTCATGGATACAGTATAAACTTCTACTTAACCTAAGTTAGTATAAACTTCTATCTAATATAAAAGAAAAAAAAAACTTAAATAATTCATAGATAAAGCACTATTTAGGTCGTTAAAAAAAAAATAGCGTTTTGAGCTTCGCACAAAAACTCGCATATAGTAAAAAAAAAAAGCACAAAGATGCTGTTATACTGTACAATCTCTAAACAACTTGTCCTTAAAGATTAAGTAAATCGACTGGTGAAAGTTCTTGAAAAAAAAAAAACACAGCGCCAAGTGCAGTTTGATTACAATTAAGACAGAAAAAAAAATGGGGCGAGATACCAATGCTCGACTTTGAATTGAAGAGCCCGATTAATGCTTGACGAGATTGTCCAGGTAAATTTATCGTCCAAAAAAAAAAAAATGAGCTACGACATTCTCAGAATTTGACTCATATTCAAAAAAAAAAATCGTCTTTTCACCTTCGTAGGTTTATTTGATAATACACAAAAAAAAATGCTCATAGGCCTCGACAACATGTTAAATATTCTTTTGAAAAAAAAAGAATGTGAGCAATGCACACATTGAYATAAACAGTATCAAAAAAAAAATGCAAAAGAATAATTAACTTGCTATCGAGGCCTAAGAGCAACTGAAAAGGTGTATTCTCCAAAGTCTGGGAAATTAACAACAGTTAAAAAAAAAATCTGCATGATATTCGAGTAGTAAAAGTCAGCTGACAGCTGTTCTCCGTAGAATTTCAGAGCTTATTTTATTAAATAGTCCAAGTAAAAAAAAAATGGTCCACCAGCATTCATTGTGTTTTAAATTTTTCATAAAAAAAAAATGAGGTGAGCTTCAAATATCCATTCGCAATCCGTATCAAAAAAAAAGTTTAAGATCTTACAAAATCTTCATTCATAGAGTATAAAAAAAAAAAAAAAAGTAAGTTTTTTGCTTGTATTACGATGTATTTTTAAAAAAAAACATGAGCAAAAGCTCGAAAGGGATGCTGGTGGACCATGAAAAAAAAAG